ATTAGTTCACTACTTAATATCAGTAATATTGAAACTTTTTAATGCTTTTTGTGAATGTCTTAAATCTTTATACTTTCATCAAATTTCAAGAAATACTATTCCTCTATATGATTTAATGTTATATATATATAACTGATTTTTTTTATCATGATCAACTTGAGCTTATCAGCTATGATATGTATGATACCTGTTAGTATTATCACTACCCTACAGCCTTTAATAGTATTTTAGTATTGAAAAAAGTATCTATGCTGCTGATAAATTCCAGTGTCAGTACCAAAGAATAAGCAGGCTAATATAAGATAACATAATGTATATTATTCATATTTCCTTCTTCCATTATCACATATACAAAGTACCAACTTCCTTTAGGTATTAGCAATTCTTTAAACAGCCTTCATAATAGTGAAAGTGAAAATCTGGCCTACCACTTCACGTTACGGTATTGGTTTTATTTTCGGTGTGAGTGATCAGATCTGTAGTGATAACCTTTCATAATCTTAATGTTTACGAGTCAAAAACCGTTAGCTTTTGTAGTTTTTATCTTCCACTATGTATCTTTAAAGGTTAAGGTTAAGATGAAAGGCTTATATGATTTTCTATATATACCCCGCAGTGTGTTCTGCACATCAGGAGGAAAGATAGCTATCCAGTATTAAGCTAAGAGGTATGGATAAGATGAAGAAATTGTTCCCAAATTATCTCCATACGCACTGTGGCTAGAAGGATACCATACCTGGGATGTGAACATTTTTGCATAGATAAATGAGGCACTCCTTGTTTTTTAAAATGCGTATGATAAAAAGAATAATTTTTTCTATTCTTTTCAAGACGTTAATCTATTCCAAGTCATAGCAACTCGAGTCTCTATATATTTTCTTTGAAAAAGTTGCTCCGTTTATTTTCATATTCAGACATGTCATAATATAATTGCATAGTAGGTATTCATTCCACAGTGAAATATTTGTACAATACTTGTGAGTGTATCAGTACTTTGTTTCTTGGATTTTTATTTTTCACATATATATTTCTTTAAATTAAAAGCTTAAAGTTGCTGCACATACTAAGCTGCTTTTTTGATGCCTCTTTAATAAGCCTCTTTTAGTTTGGTGTTCATCTCGTTGTTTTATACCATCAATCAAATGATGAAATTATTGTAAGCAAAATTTGCTGAATTGTTAACAGGAATGTGTATCTTGAGCAGTGTGGGGAAACTGTTTGTGGTTTCGTTAACCTTTGTGGTAGAATTCTATGAATTTTTCACATTCACATTTGTGATATATTTAGAAAATCATCAGAAATGTGATATCATTCCATGCCCACATCCACAAATTATTACATTCTGTGTCCCTACACTGCCAATCATATACAAAACCCTAAATATGTATCAGTGCTGTATACCTATCAAGAGTGGCGTTGTGTCTATTTATATAAGTATTTTACTTATTTTAAAAGAGGGAGAAGCGTAATTACACAATCTAATGTTGTAGGTTGTGTGGGATTTAGAAGTGCATCTCCTTGGTAGCATTGCCTGAGAGGGTTGTTCATTAGGAGTTTGAAGCATTTGAGAATATTGTCATTGGTTTTCGTTAACCTTTGTGGTAGAATTCTATGAATTTTTCACATTCACATTTGTGATATATTTAGAAAATCATCAGAAATGTGATATCATTCCATGCCCACATCCACAAATTATTACATTCTGTGTCCCTACACTGCCAATCATATACAAAACCCTAAATATGTATCAGTGCTGTATACCTATCAAGAGTGGCGTTGTGTCTATTTATATAAGTATTTTACTTATTTTAAAAGAGGGAGAAGCGTAATTACACAATCTAATGTTGTAGGTTGTGTGGGATTTAGAAGTGCATCTCCTTGGTAGCATTGCCTGAGAGGGTTGTTCATTAGGAGTTTGAAGCATTTGAGAATTATTGTCAAGAGATTATTGGCAGAAATATAAACAGCTGTTGGCTGAAGAAGATCAAATATAAAGTCATATTACATATTGGCTCCCAATAAGAGAACAGTCTAAGTTCAAGACAGAGTTTGGCAGTGAGGCTGAATTTTTAGGAATGTAAACAGTATTGATTGAAATTGACAAGGAATGTTATGCTATGTAGGGAGATTTTCACATGTTTCCCACACACATTTTATAGTTCCCTTTGTGTGTACAGTTTTATCAACTTGACACCAGAAATAGTTGAATTGCTGTTTGTTTAACATGTGCCTCATTTCAAATGTTCTTTTAGAATCTAATGTTAGCAGCTGTTTATGATACATAAAAAAATGAAAAAAAATCCTTATTTCTTGGCTATGATATAAATTTCCTTTACTTTAAAACCTTATAGAGCATATGGAAATTTTAGCATATGGTTTCTAGTTATGTCATGTCCACAGGGTTACCAGTTGACTGTCTGGTCATCTGGTGTCATGTTGCTTTTCTATTATTGTAGGGCATAGTTCCGTCTTGCTTGCAACAACAGAGGAAGTCTTCTATTCTTGGGTACATTGCTCCCATAAAAAATTCTAGGTCCATTTGTGACATCACTAGATTATGATTTATGGGCTTTGACTGAATAAATATTTTTGTAAGGATATTTTTATGTGAACGCAGAGGCTATGAGTTACCTTACAGAATTAACTTTAACAAAAAAAAAAAGAAAAAAAAAAGCCTTGCACGGATAGGGATATGTGAATAAGCATTTTACACAGAATGAAAAACTGCCAGATCTGCTGCATGTAGCATTTTATAAGTTTCACATTAGATTTGCTTTGAAGGATCTTCCTTTTAACTTTTGATTGGAGGTTATTTGTATAAGGAGTATATAAACTGTCTCTATTCTAAACGTTATGGTGGCTTATTCAGAACATTCCAAGACATTAGCATGAAATCAAAAGAGATTTTTGATCTGTAAGACAATTTTGGTAGATTTTTCAAATTATTTAGATTTAAGTGCAAATATTGTTGGCAGAATTAATATGAAAATTCACTTTCAGTTAAATGGACGAATTGCATTATCTAAATAACTTGTTAGTTTAGTTTACAGAATAATTATCCTAAAACCTTTTAAAAATTGTTTTAATGCTTCCATTAATCAAATACATGGAACAAGTGATACATGCTTGCTGTCCTGCAAGCAACAACCTACTTTGTTATTCTCTGTGCTACTGTTGAAGCTATTATTTGGGTCCAAAGACAGATGGTATATGTAGGTGTAGCAGATGGATGTCTGTATTTATCATGATAATTTTACTGTTTCATGTATCTGACTGTGTTACATGAAGCATTAATGGGAGGGATTTTCAGGGAAAATATATTGATAAAGAAGACTGAAGTTAGTGCATGAAGCAACCTTTCATGTATTAATATTTACTTTTTTTTCTTAAGAACATCTTGATATCATGGATCAAACATGAGTTGCTTTAGAGACTTTAGCTATTCTTGTTTCTAAGACCATGATAAAAAAGAGCTTGAGAATCATTGTACAGAGAGATAACTCAGAACATTGGCTAAAGATCTAGAATATTAAAATCAGTGCAGTGAAAGTATCTCAGATGTTTCTTCATGTTTTGGATCTGGAATCAAATGAAATCTGTGGAGACATTAATTTCTAGTTAATCATATTTAGCAATAATGAAAGATAACTGGGAATATTTATATATATTTTCAGTGTTCATATATGTATTTTTTCCCTGATTGTTTCAAATGTATTCTTTTACATAAAAGCCTGCTTGATTAATTAAATATTACTTGAAGTTAATATTGATTATTAATTGTACTAAAGTGACTTTTGTCTCACAAGCTTTCAAGATCTTTCAAGGATACAACTACTTAAAAAGGAATGGAGGTAAAAGATATTTCTATGGAGTGCTCTTGTACATAATTCTCAGTCTCGTTTGTGGCCAAAGTTATCAGTATTAATCGTAAGATCTTAAAAGCTTACCATTTTAGGTTATTCAGACTTGGAGTAAGACATTACTCCTGAACCAGTACAGTCAGGCAGAGTTTGGGAGTGGCAAAACTAAAGCTACTTTGTATTTTCAGCATCGTGACTCCTGTTTGTAACTTGGCCAAGATTGTGAAAAATGAAGACATTTCTTGTGTACATATATTTTTTGTTTGATTATATGGTTTTAATGCAGACATGTTAAGTAAGAAATACTAATGGCAACTGTAGTTTTTCCGTTGCCAATTGTTCTCTTTACAGTGCAGTTGCATGAAGCTCATCATATATTGTCTTTTCTTCCAGTCTGAGTGTCTGATACCCTAATGTGTTATCTTAAGTCTTGATAGCGTTGTAGCTAATGGTAGAGGTGGAACAGAAATTCTATCATTAGCTCCCAACTAGTAAACATGAAATCTTATTACTGATTTATCTGTCTGTAATATAATTTTTGTGACAATTCTACATAAAGTACACATTACTTGAATAATCATTGCTATCAACTTAAATAGTGATAAAATGAATTCCTTTTCTGTGTAGGACTCCATAATAATAATAAACACATCAATGTTGATGTTAAATATGATTCTTGTGTGCTATTCCATTCAAGCCTATTTCTAATGTTAGATCAGAAAACTAGGTTTTCTTATATATTAGTAAGGGTCTCTAACCTAAGGAGTTTTTTGCCATGACCTCATCCTTCTGCTCTGTTCCTCTACAGTAACTGGCCCATGTTGCCCACTGTTACCAGTGTGTACTGTGTATATATGCATCCATTATTAGGTCATTTGTTGTCTTGTTGAGCCTGCCAAATATATCATGTAGACATGTATGCATTTTCATTATCCTTGTAATTTGCAATACTGTATAAGTGTAATCTTATACTCAAGAATTACCACATGTTCATCCCGTTAGCAGTCACCATTAAAAAAAAGGAAAAAGAAAAAAAAACAATCACATTTTTGCATACTGATGGCTTTTCACATTTTTCCTTAATACTTTTGCATTATAGCCATATATCCTTATTCACATTTCTTTCTACTATGAAAACAAATTTTGGCCCATCTGTTTAATTACCAACTATTGTGATATTACAGCTTTTTTTTTTTTTTTTTTTCAACAAAATTACCAGCTTTAAATCTGAGCATACAAACACCAATAACAATATAATTTAGGAAAATTTAAGTGGTTTCAAAATGACATGTATTATTACTACAACTACATGTAAATTGCCAATTGTCACCTATGATTTTAATGGAGAGAATAAAACCTTCAAAGAGCAAAACGTAAATAGCCATCTTAATGATGTGAAGTTTTAAATAAAGAATACTTAATCAAATCCTTGTACCTGATATTGAAATAAAACCCGCAAAATCCAAACCATCTTTATTACCCTACAATTTCCTCAACTAGCCAAATACTGGTGAAATGAACAGCTTTTTAATAATTTTCTTCAGTAGTTTTATATATTTTCATTCCAGAAAAAATTATTTGAACATGGCACAAAGCTGGAAACATCAATTAGATTATTTTCCATACTCATATGCATGATAATCATTTATAAATATGTATTCAGATCAATTAATACTATAAAACATGTTTATATGCTTTATTTACAAAGGTATTCAGAGCATATTACCTCTTCTGTTAAAATTGCTCCCCAGCTTTAACCATTTTTATATTGAATAATTTTAAACATTGTACAATAGACTACATCTGTAGAAAGCAAGTTAAATTTCTTTTCCAATGAATTTATAAAACAAAGACAAGGAAATTATGAATATAAATATTCAGGGAAATGTATTAAAAAATAATAGCATTTGATCACAAGCCATTTTAATTTTTAGCCTATTATAATTGAGTTAACTTGACTGCAACACTATACAAAATTCAGTTTACATTATTTCAAAATGTTATTTTACAAGACCCTGTTGTGCTGCCATCTTTTTCAAAGCCTCTTCATCTTGGGTTGACATGTTCTGGAGCTTTTTGCCCACACGTTCGTGGATTTCCCAGTATTTTGCTACACATCTGAAATGCAAAAGAAAGGGTTACTTCACACACAGGACAATATCTTTTTTTTTAATTAGAATTAATGCTTTCAACTTAACATTGAAATAAGAGGAAAAAGTATCACAAATGCACTCGATAGTATTTGAATAAATTTTATATAATCATCCTTGTAGTCACTAACTGTCCTAACTATTATTATATAAATACTGACCTAATATATAAAATTGTGTCTATTTCAATAGAAAATCTTGTAAAGAATACCAAAATATATCAAATATATTGTTCAAATGATAATTTTCAAGCCTGTTTAACCCACTGGATCCACGTGAAGTGACCATCGTACACTGAAAAAATTTGGCTGGGGTCTAGGGGGATGGGACTTTGCGGTCATGGAAAATTCAGCTGAAAGGCGGAATGAGGGGAACGACTTGCCATGAGTGCACAAAGGTCATGTGGGATGATTAGACTCAGTAGGCATTTAGGAAGCGGATCCTGCACTATTTCATCAATATGAAAATATCTTTAAAATTAAACACATAAAATATTACTTGTTGATATTGTTACTGCAGGACTCTAGGCTACCTAGAGAGATGTAAGGAGTCTGTACAAAGAAAACCATAAAATACCATTGTGATACAGCATATCAAATGACATACATAGGCCTTGCAAAATAGTAAAAATGCAAAAAACCCTTATGCCAAGGAGAAGCAAGGAGCCTTGATACTACACACAACTGTTTGTGTGGGCAGAGCCTACAAGCCACATACCAAGGAAAATTGCCCCTCAAGAAAGCCTAACACCAGGATTTTGAGCCATTTACAGACTGCAGGGCACCAGGATCCAATGGGTTAAATATCTACAACAAGATCCTTAAAGAATTTGCCAATGAAGGAGCTAGAGAATAAAATCTTGCAACCCTTCAGTCAACTCTACAAAATACTAAAGCTTACCTGTCAATACACACAGCTTCTCCCTTTGCTATTTCAGAATCCTTGTACTTGGTTGGAATGCATTTTTTATGACAGGAGTTTGTCATTCTTGTGTACATGTCCGACATCATTTCTATCTCCAAGTCTTGGACCAGCTTCATCTGGTCGTCATTCAGAGATGGTAGACCAGCCATTTTTAAAGCTTTTTTTTTAGCTGTAGACAAACAAAATTCTAGCTTTGTTTTTATGCCTTACACCAGATAGCAGGAAGCTATCCGATCAACTCCTCTGATGGAAGTCGAAGATCCTTTATCCTGTGAAACTTCTCTTGGCTTCGTAATCCCCGGTGTTTGCGTTTCTCATGCGATCTCTAATTTTCATAGCCTCTCGCCGCTGGGTATCAACAACTGACTTGGTGAGTACGAATCCACCAACACCCAAAGTTATAACGCTGACCCTGCAAATCAAAACAGGGTATTAGCAAAATGATTAAAAACACTTCTTAGTAGTAACTGAATATACATCAATTCCTTCATACTGATAAGTACATACTTCTTAAATAAAACCCTTGCAATAGTATAAAAGAAGAATTAGAATATTATGTAGAACAAACCAATGACCCAAAACTCATCATAGGAGATTCTAGTGCACACCATACAAGTTATAATCCAAAATTAAAACCCAAATTATCAAATAAGACTGGCCAAAACATTCTTGAATTTATTAACTGGAATATTATCATATTATTAGCAATGCCAGGTCTAATGACAAGAATTGCTCATAAATCATGCAAAAAAGCTACGATTGGCCTGATCTTAACTTCACATCCTTTAACCCTTTGTGCTGGGACGCCATATAATACATGTCATGTCCACTGCGATATTGTTTATTAATTTAGTTTATTCACTGATGACTCCAGAAGTGCTTAGTCACCAAGGTGTCCATTACAAGTCCTACCTATAACAACCTTTAATTAACCATTATATTAATCATAATGTCAATAACAATAATAATAATAATAGTACCAATATTAACAGCATTAGAAAAATAACATCAAGGAAATTCAAGAAACGGGGAAATAAACCAAGGTTACACACAACCTCCTAATCAACTCCTTAGTGGCTGAGCACTTGCCGAGTCATCAACAAATTTCGCACCAAAATCTAATAGCCAGTAAATATCCGCATTGCAAATGGGTTAATTCACACAAATGTAGAAATGTGAATGAATGATCAAAACAAATGAGATGATAATACTAAAATGCAGAATATCTCAAATAAAATAACCATCCTTCTAAGAACAAAGACATGAAACACTTTGAATCTGCAATCCAAAAACAAAAAACATAGCCAAGAAAACTTGAAAAGGAGCAGCAGCAAGACAAACAATTAAACACAGAGAGAAGGAAGTCCAGAGAGAACTTTTGTGCCTTGCTTGGGTAATACAGGTTTGCTATTAACCCTATGCCACAAGGGATGGCAGCATGTATGTAGATGCCATGGTCACTATGCTATTAATAGCATCAATAACATTATAATAATCATAATGTCTATAATAACTATAAAAGATTCAATACTGACAGGATAGAAAATTCCCAAAAACTAAAGGAAAGGTGAAATCAGGTGAGATCATGAGGTCGACTGAATGACTACTTGGTGTCTATGCACTTGTGAAGTCATCTATACACAGAGACATTGCACAAACCAATACTACAGTGAACACTACATTTTCCCGGTAGCACTGTGGTGAAGTTTTCATTCAATTTTCCAAAGGACAGCATTTTTCACATTACTACAGGAAATAACTGACCAGAAAAAGAAATTCTTAGAGAGTAACATAATAATAATAACAGTACCAATATTAACAGCATTAGAAAAATAACATCAAGGAAATTCAAGAAACGGGGAAATAAACCAAGGTTACACACAACCTCCTAATCAACTCCTTGGTGGCTAAGCACTTGCCGAGTCATCAACAAATTTCGCACCAAAATATAATAGCCAGTAAATATCCGCATTGCAAATGGGTTAATCGACACAAATGTAGAAATGTGAATGAATGATCAAAACAAATGAGATGATAATACTAAAATGCAGAATATTTCAAATAAAATAACCATCCTTCTAAGAACAAAGACATAAAACACTTTGAATCTGCAATCCAAAAACAAAATACATAGCCAAGAAAACTTGAAAAGGAGCAGCAGCAAGACAAACAATAAACACAGAGACAAGGAAGTCCAGGGAGAACTTTTGTGCCTTGCTTGGGTAATACAGGTTTGCTATTAACCCTATGCCACAAGGGATGGCAGCATGTATGTAGATGCCATGATCACTATGCTATTAATAGCATCAATAACATTATAATAATCATAATGTCTATAATAACTATAAAAGATTCAATACTGACAGGATAGAAAATTCCCCAAAACTAAAGGAATGGTGAAATCAAGTGAGATCATGAGGTCGACTGAATGACTATTTGGTGTCTATGCACTTGTGAAGTCATCTATACACAGAGACATTTCACAAACCAATACTACAGTGAACACTACATTTTCCCAGTAGCACTGTGGTGAAGTTTTCCTTCAATTTTCCGAAGGACAGCATTTTTCACATTACTACAGGAAATAACTGACCAGAAAAAGAAATTCTTAGAGAGTAACATAAGGCTCTCCGCTAAGGTCCAAAATATAGAACCATATGCAGCACAGCTCCATTTAACTCCTACAATCTGGATGATTAGAGGAGTTAAATAGTAAATAGTTAAATATACAAATAATTATCTATCTAACTACACCTAATATGGAACAGTGTACCCTCATTTAACTCTGTGTATATATTATGTTTTCTCAGTATATTTTCCTTGAAAATGATTCAGTACTGACAACGGAGTTTAATAATAATAATAATAATAATAATAATAATATGAAGGATTAGAAAAAAATCCTTTTATATCTTTAAAAACTGATACAAAAGTCATGGATTAGTGGAGTAGTGCTACCTATCATACAAGTGCCTTGAATAATACCATATTCCAAAACTCTATAAAAGAAAGAGGCATAATTTTATAGTTTCACAAAGCCATCCAATCTGACAATAATCATTCCTTGATTCAATTATTCACGTTGTAATAAGCACGATCTGTTGCCGCTTTCCATCGCAAATGATGCGAGGGAAAGTCCTTGTTTCTGAAGCAACCGCATCCCTCGGAGACCAGGCCCCTATTGCTCCAGCCGCCCCAGAGAATCCACAGAAGAAGGAATGATAATTTTTTAGTTTCACAAAGCCATCCAATCTGACAATTATCACGCTGAACGAACCAAACTCTTTCCTAATCCGAAAGAATGATAATTTTGAAAGAAAGAAAGAATGATAATTAAGAAAGGTAATAATAAAGAAAGAATGCTAATTAATATAATTAATTAATTAATAATAATAATTTATAATAATAAAGAAAGAATGATAATTTTTTAGTTTCACAAAGCCATCCAATCTGACAATTATCACGTCGTACGAACCAAACTCCTTCCTAATCCGAGCGCTGCAGACGTGAGACCCCTAAACTGCCGCTGGATTTCCCTGTTTGGGGCTCCACCTAAAGACCCCAATTGGCGCAGACTTTACTCTTCATGTAGCGCTTAATGAAACCTATTTTCGGTATAGGTTAAGGTTTGACTATCCTTCACCTACGAAAATTACTTCATGTTTTTTTGTTCATTATATAAATGTATAATAAAGTATTACGTGTTGCACTACTTTTTTGAGTCATTTTGGCCTTTTACAGGAAAAAAAAAATTGTTCAGATTCATTTATAAGGCCTTTTCTTCTGCCCTTGTATGGAGTCTCCCTAACTTTAATACTACATTAATATCTCAAGATTATTCAACGCTCGATCTGTGTAATAGACGTTAATAACTTCTTACGCATTATTTCTGAGGAAAAACATACACAGAACTATTAACACACTACTCCTCCCTTAATTCCCTAAACTACGCTACGAAAAACCACCTCAAACGACCGTCCACACCTCGAACTCACCATCCAACGATAATCCTAGAAACCTTCGTCCTGAACATGAGAGATATTCGCTGATTTTCGTTCCATAAAAAAAATTTCCAGCAAAATTCTTCGTCCTCCTCGAAGCCGGCGTCGTCTGCTCCCTCGTGTGGGCGCTTCGTTCACATCCGTCTTCTGGCTTTTTGTAACATAGTGAGGGGGGAAAGGGGATTGGGGTTTAGTTGTGTTTGTTTGTTTGTTTTTTGGGGGGGGTGATTATTGTTGTGTGGTATAGGGGGAATGAGTGGGGTTTTATTCTTATTTAAGTGTTGTGTTTCAATTCGGCTGGGATGCCTGGCGTTTCGTTCACATCTAACATATGGCTTTCGTAACGTCACCAGAGAAAATGGATTTTATTTCGGGGGAACTTTATTATATTTAAATTATTGTTAGAAATGTGTTAGAGCTTCATATCTGATATTTATCGAATGAGGGAAATTGGATTTGATTTTTGTGGATGAACTGTATTGAATCTTGAGTGATTATTACAAGAAATTATCTGGGTTATAATATTTATGCTGAATGATTGTTATTGTTATTGTTATTGTGGAAATAATATGACATTGTGAAAAAAATGATGCTTATTATTACCAAGGAAATACTGAAACATCAATTTAATTATTAGCTTCAAATTCATCCTGGATATATTTGATTGTTCATGGACAGCCTCAATGGAAAAGTCAAACAAGTGAAATGGGTCAAGTCATTTCGCTTATTTTTTTCGTCTGATCTCTTGGCGAGATCGAAATATTAAGAATCAATTTTATTTCTTATTACGGATGCTTCAATTTTCATTTTTGTACACGTTACCGCGTTTGTGTTCACACACACACACACACACACACACACACACACACACACACACACACACACACACACACACACACACACACACACACACACACACTCTCTCTCTCTCTCTCTCTCTCTCTCTCTCTCTCTCTCTCTCTCTCTCTCTCTCTCTCTCTCTCTCTCTCTCTCTCTCTCTCTCTCTCTGTCTCTCTCTCTCTGTCTCTCTCTCTCTGTAAGTCTCTCCCTCTCTCTCTCTCTGTCTGTCTCTCTTTTCCTCTCTGTCTGTCTCTGTTTCTGTCTCTGTCTCTGTCTGTCTGTCTCTTTCACTCTCTCTCTCTGTCTCTGTCTCTCTCTCTCTGTAAGTCTCTCCCTCTCTCTGTCTGTCTGTCTCTCTTTTCCTCTCTGTCTGTCTGTCTCTGTCTGTCTGTCTCTTTCACTCTCTCTCTCTCTGTAAGTCTCTCCCTCTCTCTCTGTCTCTCTTTTCCTC